TTCTTTCTTTTTTTTTTCTTCTTTTTTTTTTCCTTCCTGTTCTGTGGAATTCTTCTGCAGCAGTAGGGAGGCCATTCTCTGTCTATATACAGATAGGTCGCGATGTAAATATTTTTATTATTCGATGATGAATTTTATTGTAATTGTTATTAATACTAAAATACATAGCGACCGCATGCATTAATAAAAAAAGACTATTTTTAGCAAGTAAAATTTTTTTGTTGATGTAATATTTTTAGCAAGTAATTGTCAAAGTTTATCAGACGATACGCCCATGTTAAAAATGAACTGCGATCCCGACGTAGACAGGTATGGCCCCGGTTTCGTTGAAGTGACACGCCGAGTTGTCAGAGCTTTTTTTTTTTTTTTTTTTTTTTTTTTTATGAGGGTGGAGGTCATCCAAGGGTACCCGCCATAGATTTAAAAATATATATTTTTACAAATAATTTTTCAAATTAAAAAAGAAAAAAAAATCACGGAACCAGCCAAAATAAGCATTTTGGTTTGTTGTTTTGTAGGTTATTTCAATTTTTTATTGTTTTTCAAATGTCATCACGATGTGGGGCTTGTGGCGAAAGAAAAAAGAACAAAAGGATAGGGGGAAAAAAGCAAAAAACAAACACCGTGCTTTCATGGTTTGGCCAGTCACCGTGAACGGCCGCTTACGGGCGCAGGGGCATATGACCGCCCGGTCACGTGAACGATGACGGCACTGCAATGCGCCGAAATACCAGCCAAAAATAAGAGCTATACAGTGAACTCAAATGTTAATGTCGGCACTCTCTCTCCACTTCAGCATAGTATCCAGAGTAGCTCTTTCAGGTTGGCAGCAACTTGGTGCTCATGGCCCAGCCGATCCTACTTAGCCTTTCTAGCCTACACTACGTTCATGCAACAGGAGGCACTTCGAGTCGAAGACCAATGTACGTGACAACTTCTCCAATGCAGACTGCACTTCTCTCCAAATGCACAAATGTCATCTCTCGGTGTTCTAACGGAAGATTCATTCTCATTTTGCACGTTTGGAGAGTAGTGGAGGCACTGGAGGGAGGCCCAGTATGTCCACTGAGATCCACAAACAACAAGACCTGATGGGGTGTTCGGGACGACTAGCAGGCTGGCTCAAAACATAAAAAGAGTTACGAGCACTGTTTGAGTTGTGTGCTCTGTGTGTGTG